TTTTAATTTTAATTAAAATTTTTTTTAAAAATTTAATCTTTTGAAAAGTATCCATCCTGTTTTCCATAGTGACTGCACCAGTTTGCATTCCCACCAACAGTCTGTGAAGGTTGCCTTTTCTCCACGTCCTCTGCAACATTTGTTATTTTTTGTCTTGGTAATTGTAGCCATTCTAACAGGTGTAAGGTGATATCTCATTGTAGTTTTGATTTGCATTTCCCTAATGATTAGTGATGTTGAAAATCTTTTCATGTGCCTATTGGCCACCTGTATATCTTCTTTGGAAAAATGTCTGTTCATATCCTCTGCCCATTTTTGGGTCGGGTTGTTTTTTTGTTCTTTATATATTTTGGAGATTAACCCCTTGTCAGATATATGATTTTCAAATACTTTTTCACAGTTGGTAGTCTTTTTCATTTTGTTCATAGTTTCCTTTCCTTGCAGAAGCTCTTTAGTCTGATGTAGTCCCATTAGTTTATTTTTTCTGTTGTTCCCATGCCCCAGTAGACACGGTATTTGAAAAGATGCTGCTAAGACCAATGTCAAAGAGTGTACTGCCTATATTTTCTTCTAGGAGTTTTATGGTTTCAAGCCTCACCTTCAAGTCTTTAATCCATTTTGAGTTAATTTTTGTATACAGTGTAAGATAATGCTCTACTTTCATTCTTTTAAAGTGGCTGTCCAGTTTTCCCAACACCATTTATTGAAGAGATTTTCCTTTCTCCAGTGTATGTTCTTGGCTCCTTTGTGGGAAATTTGTTGTCCGTAGACGTGTGGTTTTATTTCTGGGCTTTCACTTCTGTTCCATTGATCTGTGTGCCTGTTTTTGTGACAGTATCTTGCTCTTTTGATTAATATAGCCTTGTAGAATATTGCAAAGTCAATTGTGATTGTGATGCCTCCAGCTTTGTTCTCTCTTCTTAGGATTGCCTTTGCTGTTTGGGGTCTTTAGTTAAGTTCCATATAAATTTTAGGATGCTTTGCTCTATTTCCATGAAAAATGTCATTGGGATTCTGATTGGGATTGCAGTGAGTCTCTAGATTGCTTTGGGTAGTGTGGATGTTTTAACTATGCTTATTCTTCCCATCCATGTGCAAGGAATATCTTTCCATTTGTTTATGTCATTTTCAGTAATGTCTTACAGTTTTCACTGTATAGATCTTTCACCTCCTTGGTTAAATTTATTCTTAGATATTTTATTCTTTTTGTTGCTATTGTAATTCGGATTGTATTCTTGAGTTCTCTTTCTGCTAGATCAAAATGTGACTGATTTTTGTAAGTAGGTTTAGTACCCTGCAACTTTGCTGCAGCTGTTGATTATTTGTAATAGTTTTCTATGGATTCTTTAGGGTTTTCTATATATAGAATCATGTCATCTCCAAACAGTGAGAGTTTTACTTCTTCCTTTCCAATTTAGTTACCTTTTGTTTCTTTTTCTTGCCTAAATGCTCTTGCCAAAACCTCCAGTACTGTGTTGAGTAAGAGAGGCAAGAGTGGGCATGCTTGTCTTGTTCCTGTTCTCAGAGGGATGGCTCTCAGTTTTTCACCATTGAGTATGATGTTGGCTATGGGTTTGTCATAAATGGCCTTTATTAGGTTGAGGTACTTTCCTTTTATACCTATTTTATTGAGAGTTTTTATCATACTGGATGTTGGATCTTGTCAAATGCTTTCTCTGCATCTATTGAGATGATCATGTGATTTTTATTCCTCATTTTGTTAATGTGGTATATCACATTGGTTGATTTATGGATGTTGAACCATCCCTGTGTCCCTGCTATAAATCCCATTTGATCATGGTGTATGATCCTTTTAATGTATTGCTGTATATGGTTTGCCAAAAAATAGCTTAGGATTTTTGCATCTATGTTCATGAGTGATGTTGGCTTGTAATTTTCCTTCTTTGTGTTGTCCTTGTCTGGTTTTGGGATCAGGGTAATGTTGGCCTCATAGAATGAGTTAGGAGGTGTTCTATATTTTTCAATTTTGTGGAATAATTTGAGAAGGATAGGTATTAAATCTTCTTTGAATATTTGGTAGAATTCTCCTGAGAAGCCATCTGGTCCTGGACTTTTGTTTTCTGGGAGGTTTTTGGTTACTTGTTTCAATCTCTTTGCTTGTGTTTGGTCTATTCAGATTTTCTATTTCTTGTTTCAATTTTGGGAGGTTGTATGAGTCTAAGAATTTATCCATTTCTTCTAGGTTATCCAATTTGTTGGCATATAGTTTTCCGTAGTATTCTCTTATAATTCTTTTGTACTTCTGTGGTATCCATTGTAATTTCTCCTCTTTCATTTCTAATTTTATTGATTTTCATCTTCTCTCTTTTTTTCTTAGTCTGGCTAAAGGCTTCTCAATTTTATCTTCTCAGAGAACCAGCTCTTAGTTTCATTGATCCTTTCTACTGTTTTTCTGGTTTCTATTTCTCTTATTTCTGCTCTAATTTTTATTATTTCCCTCTTTCTGCTGACTTTGGCTTTGTTTGTTCTTGTTTTTCTAGTTCTCTTAGGTGTGGTTTACAATTACCTACTTGGGATTTTTCCTGATTGTTGAGGCGGGCCTGTATTGCTATGAATTTTCCTCTTAGAAGTGCTTTTGCTGCATCCCATGACAGTTGGTATGATGTGTTTTCATTTTCATTTATCTCCAGAAGTCTTTTTATTTCTTCATTGATCCAATCATTGTTCAGTAGTATGTTGTTTAGTCTCCACATATTTGTGAGTTTCCCAGCTTTTTTCTTGAAGTTGATTTGTAATTTTATAGCACTATGGTCGGAAAAGATGCTTGATATGATTTCAGTCTTTTTAAATTTATTGAGGCTTGCCTTGTTTCCCAGCATATGATCTATCTTTGAGAATGTTCCATGTGCACTTGAGAAGAATGTATATTCTGCTGTTTGGGAATGGTATGTTCCATATATATGTTCTATCTATTATGACTGTCTGGTCTAGTTTTTCATTATTGTTGACTTTCTGTCTGGATGATCTATCCATTGATGTAAGTAGGGTGTTTGAGGTCCCCTACTATTATTGTGTCGCTGTTAATTTCTCCCTTTAGGTCTGTTAATAGTTACTTTATGTTCTTTGGTACCCCTGTGTTAGGTGCATATATAGTCATAAGTGTTATGTCCTCTTGGTGGAATGTCCCTTTTATCATTATATACTGCCCCTCTTTGTCTCTCATTTGTCTTTTTTATCTTGAAATGTGCTTTGTCTGATATAAGTATGGCAACACCTGCTTTCTTTTGCTTGCCATTTGCTTGGAGTATCGTCTTACATCCTTTCACTCTGAGCCTCTGTTTGTCTTTAGAGCTGAGATGTGTTTCCCGGAGGCAGCATGCTGGGTCTTGTTTTTGAATCCATCCAGGCACTGTGTGTCTTTTGATTGGAGAATTCGATCCATTTAAATTTAGAGTGATTATGGATGTATGAGAGCTTAATGCTGCCATTTTATCTCTTGTTTTCCGATTGTTCTATATTTCCATTGTTTCTCTTCTTGTGTATTTCTTATTGCCATTTCAGTTTGGTGATATTCTATGATGCTTTTCTCTTTATCATCTGTGGTTCTGCTCTGATTTTTTGTTTAGTGGTTACCATGAGGTTTGTATAAAAGATTTCATAGATGAGATAGTCCATTTTCTGATAGCTTGTTATCTCCAGTAGCCTAAGCATGTTCCATCTATTTCCTCTTCCCTGTCTAAGTTATTGTTGTCACAAATTACTCCATTTTGTGTTGTGAGTTTGTGATTAAAATAAAATGTTTATAGTTAGTTTTGGTGCTTTTCTTCCCTTTATCTTTAATGTTATAATTAAATGTTTGCTAACCTCTTCTGATAGAGAGATGCAATTTTCTGATTTTGTCTATTTATCTCCTTGCTCAAGGCTTTATGAACCTTTCCCTTTTTGTTTCAGATATGAGGGCATTCTTTTTTTTCGTTTTTTCTTTTTTGGTGAGGGTTATTGGCCCTGAGCTAACATCTGTTGCCAATCTTCCTCCTTTTGCTTGAGGAAGATTTTATCACCAAGCTAAGATCTGTGACAATCTTCTTCTATTTTGTATGTAGGATGTCACCACACCATGGCACAATGAGGTCTGTGACTGGGATCCAAACCCATGAACCCTGGGCCACAAAAGCGGAGTGTGTGAACTCAACCACTATGCCACTGGGCCAGCCTCTGAGAGCATTCTTGATAATTTCTTGTATTGGGGGGTCTTGTGGTGATGAACTCCCTCAGCTTTTGTTTATCTGGGAAAGTTTTTATTTCTCCATCATGTCTGAAGGATAATTTCACTGGATAGAGTATTCTTGGCTGGAAGTTTTAATCCTTCAGCCTTTTGAATATATCATTCTGCTCTCTCCTAGCCTGTAACATTTCTGCTGAGAAATCCACTGAAAGCCTGATAGGGGTTCCTTTGTAGATTATTCTCTTCGGCATTGCTGCTTTTAATAGTTCTTCTTTGTCATTGACTTTTGTAGTTTTACTAATATATGTCTTGAAGAAGGTCTTTTTGTATCAATGTAAAAATGGGAGTTCTGTTAGCTTCGTTTACTTGTAATTTCCATTACTTCCCCAGATTTATGAAGTTCTCAGCTATTATTTCTTTGAACCAGTTCTCTGTTCCTTTCTCCCTCTGGAATACCTATAATCCTTATATTGCATTTTCTGGTTGGGTCAGATATTTGTCAGAGAATTTCTTAATTTTTGTTTTAGTCTTAGTTCTCTCTCCTCCTCCACCTGAAGCATTTCTATGTTTCTGTCCTGTGAATTACTAATTCTGTTCTCCATAATGTCGGCTCTGGTTTTTAAGATTTCTAGATTGCTTTTTATTTCATTCATTGTGCTCTTCATCTCTGGTGTTTGTGTTTGGGTTTTGTTTCTTTTTTAGAATTTCAGTCTTTTTTGTGAAGAATTTCTACTGCTCATTAATTTTATTCTGAGTTCATTGAACTGTCTTTCTGAGTTTTCTTGTAACTTGTTGAGTTTCTTTATAACTATTTTGAATTCTTTGTCATTTAGATTGTAAATTTTTGTGACTTCAGGGTTGGTTTCTATCCTGTCACTTTCCTTCTGATCTGAAGTGTAATGTATTTCTTCATGGTGTTTGATGAAGTGGACCATTGTGGGCACATAGTCTTAGCATTTGGTCACAGATTCCACCTGCCACCACTGGGAGGTGCAGCAGGAGCTGTGAGTTTTGAATCTGCCACACCCACTGGAGGTTGTGCCAGTATGGCTCATCTCTGTTTGCCTGCTGGCGGCTGCTGCTTAGCGGGTCCCACACACAGGCAGTGGCCCTCTGGTGCAGATCCACTGCCCTGGCAAACCACCCAAGCTAGTGTGCCAGGTGGGAGGAGAGGGATGCCTTTGCACATGTGAGCCTGCACTGCACTCACTGGTGGCCTGCCTGGGCTGCTTGGCTTGCTGGGGGCACCCATGTGGTGGCTGAGCTGCCTCAGTGTGGAGCAGTCCTGCGGGCTGGGGTGCAACTCTGAAAGTGAAAGCCTTCCCGCAGAGGCCTTCCTGTTTCCCCATGTCCTCTCAGAGTTGCATGCCAGCTGCTGTGTGAGGTCCCTCGCCCTAGATCACTGCTGCTGGGAAGGGGGAGGAGATCTGCTCATTTCCTTCCACTGCTTCCTGGGAATCCAGGACCCCCACCTTCAGACCTTATGGCTGCGTGGCTCTCTCAGACATCCTCTTGTGCTGTGTGGCTGTCCTCTGTGGATTAATGAATGTCCTTTTGGTTGTGTCTTAGCGGGGAGAGACTAAAGGAACAGCTCACTCCACCATGATGATGTTACTCTCCCCAGAGTTTCAGTTTTACAAGATGAAAAGAGTTCTGGAGATGGATGTTGGTGATGGCTGCACAACATTCTGAATGTAGTTAATACGTCTGACCTGTACACTTAGAGATGGTTAAGATACTAAGTTTTATGTTATGTGTATTCTACCACAGGAAAAAAACTGCTATTTATAGTAAATACTGAAATTGATCATTTATTTTAGAACTGTGTAACACTTTGAAGAATGTAGAGTTTTGCAGTTCTTAGGATATCAGCTAAATCTGACTTGAAGAGACCTACAATGGATGCGCTTTCTTTTGCTTGGTGGTAAAACTGCACCTTCTGGAATCCTGAAAAATATTTTTCTTGAATATAAATCTATTGTGCACAAATATTTAATAGAGTCACACTGATGCCCACAGCCTGAGAATATGTTCATAGATTACAAATCCTGTTACAAATCAAGACTAGGATAGGTTCTCTTGCTGCAGATTCTCTCCAGTACTGACCAGAACAACCAAAATCCGTAAAACAGTCAAGTCTCTGGAAAAAGGTGTGAAGGTTGCTTTGTAGACTTTTAGACAAAGTGCAGAATTAAAGGACATAATTTGTTGTTCTTAATTTCATCTATTTGATTTACCTAATGAGAAGGAAAATATTTCCTTAAAGAGCCATTTCTTGACATATTTATCTTCATTGGAACCCACATTAATCAGATTTGTCCTTTGGATTAAGACACTGGTGAGGTTATCAGCTGCATTAAAAGAGCTTACCATCAAAATGATGCATTTTCTACAGAGACAAAAAAGCTTGGAACTCTGGAATGTTGTGGCAGTGTCCTCAATAAGTATTTGACTTCACTGGGTTTTCCACCTGTTTAGGTTCTCGTGAGCACTGGAGATCATTCTCAACAGGAGAGGTAGACCTCCTTTGTGTTGTAAATACATTTTTGTGAAGGGAAACATTAACTTTGGCAGGAGTTCAATGAAGGGATCTCTGAGGAATTGACATTTAAACCAAGATTGAAGGAAATAAGTATGGGGTGGAAAATTGTGTTTGGATTTGGGTGGAAATTAGGGATGGCAACAGTGAACAGTGTAGAAGTGACAGCAATGCTACATTGTGTTTATGATGTTCTGAGAGAGCAAACAATGTCAACTCTTGGATGTCTGATGGAGGCATTAAAAAGATTAGAGACTAAAGAGTAGTATTGGGGGGAGTGAGAGGTAATGTCCTGAGATATATTTCATTTCAAGTGCATGTTAGTTTGCAAATAGAGATGAGAGCTCAGAAACGAAATTCAGACATGAATTTTGTCAATTTCAATTTAGAAACAATAATGGAAGAATTAAAGCAACTGAATGGATGTGTGAGCAAGCTGAGGCATACCAGTGTACGGAAGTGAGGAAGGCTGGAGTGGGATGGAGTCTTGAGATGTTCCAACAATGTTATTTGAGAAACTTCTGACAAGTGATAAGGAGTTGGAATAACAAGATTAATTTGAAGACAACAGTAGACTGAGATCTCAGAAGAATGTAGGAAAAAGTACGTTTTCCAGAAGAGGTCATGTTGCACTTACTCTTTTGTTCCCAGTTAAAGCCTGAGGTACACACGTTGGATTTGTTTGTGCAGGTATCATTGGTAATCACATCGTGTTGAGTGGGACGTTAGGATACAGCAACTGCACCTTCAGGTTTTAGTTCAATTGTAAAGTTGGGAGCAAGAGGGAAGGAATTGAAGAGGAAGTGAGTTCGGAGGAGGTTTTAGTTTCAAGATTGAACAGATTTAATGAGTTTAAATGATGAAAGGTTGCACTCTGATGAGAGGAGAGGTTGCTAGCAAAGGATATACTTTTTAATCAATAATATAAAGTTCTCAACAAAACAAGAGGAAGTAGTTCACTTGGAGACATTGGGCTTAGCTGTGAGTAGAGATGAGTCCTCAGTTTTACAGGAGAAAAGGAGTAATTAAAAGATGTAAATGCAGGAATATTTGTACATTTTATGATGTTAGACTGAGGTAGTTTGTCAAGTTATATGATTCATCTACTTAGTAGGAAACATCTCATCTTTTGAAAGTGAAGGGAGAAGTAAGAATGTATGAGTTCAAAGGCATGGAGAACGTTTGAAATATTTATGGAGCATGGAAGATTGATTAGTTAATAAGATATATAGTGGGGTTGCCAGATATATTTTAGTGCCAGTCACTGAGTTGTGACTCCAGGTTTAGAGGACGGTCAATATCCTAGTCCTGTGCAGTCAGATGCAATCACAGAACAGGGAGATATTTAAAGTCACCTTCTATTGGGGTCTTGATCAGCAGATGTGGTAAGTAATCAGAAGGACATAAAATAATGTTTGTCTTGGTAAATATCTATTGAAATGAGAACTGAATTAAACAGGGCAGCAAAAATGAGGGGGGTTGAAGGCTGCTGTTCAGGAATTGGGGTAATGCAGTGGTTCCTGGGTGGTAGAGAACATGGGCATGGGGAGTAATTTTGTGGAAAAGCATGAAAGAGAATAGGTTGTAAAAACAGGGTATGGCTTCTGTTTATTAGAATTTCTATTCCAGGTAAAAACTAGATGTGGTGTGTAACCCTTAAAGAATTTGAGCTTAGGAGGCAGGCAGAGGAAAATGGAAATTATACCTGTGTCACTTTCTAGCATGTGCTTATATGTACGTATATGCTTATATACATGTAATTTTGTGCCATTACTTAAGTTTTCTGAATCTCTGATCATGTTATTTATTAAACTAATAAGTGAACCATAATCAATAGAGTTATTTTGAGGCATAAGTAAGCAAATGTATCTAAATCTCCAAGCACAGAGTCACATTTAGTAAAACTGTTGCTTTCTTTTCTTGATGTCAGTTATCAATGGGTGAGTTAAGCCTCCTTCTCTTTATCACTCATTATCATCATTTGTCCACGTAATATACCTAATTATTTTTGATGTTTTATGGGAGGGTTTTCACTTTATAAATGCTTTCAGAGACGCACACACAATGCAATAATGAAATTCAGGGAAGCCGCAGCTAATGATGATTGGTAAAGGGCAGAATTTCAGCTACCACTTTTCTAAAATATCGGATGGAGGAACTAAGTTTTCTTCTAAAATCCCTTAATTCTGTCATTTCTGAGCCTAGTGCCCTATGAGGATTGTTGGACATGATACTAGTACTGTAACCATATACTCCTGCTATTTTCTGATGCAGGAGATTTTAAGGACTAAATTTGCAAGATGGGTGCCATCAATTCCACCAAATGGAATAAGTCACAGAATTGATTAACCCTGTCATAAAATATATTCTTAATTCTCTTGGTTCGTAACCAAATCAATGCAGAACGAATCTAAAAGTCAGTGTTGATGGAGTGATATTGCTGGAAACCCCACTTGGAAGAGACAGAATGATTCAGGAGAAGTGTGCCCAGGGGGCCAGGGGCAGGAAGGAGTGGGAATGGATTAAGGCACCAGAGGGCTGGGATGGAGTGGGAGAAACTGCTAGTGCACAACCCAAGATTAATTAAAGCTGAGGAATTCCACACTGGTTACTGGAGATGGAAACACATGTAGCATGAGTCAGGGATTCCTGTTTTGGAATGAGGAGGCAGTTGAACACTTCTGAACACTGTGGGTTAATTAGCATACAGAACTCACTGGTTTTCACATTCTTCTCTCTAAATTGAAGGTGTTTTCTTTACTAGCAACAATAGTCATAGCCTTCTTAATTTTGGCTCTGATAGAGAACTCTCCCCCTATTTCTCTTAGAGTCCACTGCATGTTTCTGTGGGTTGGGCTGGGGGATACTTCCACGTGAAGGAATGGGGCTTCATCACAAGTGGGTCTGGACATTGTCAACAACTAGACTCATGGCTTCTTTCTCCTTCCTCAGCTTTACCTCCTGTTGCTTGGACTGTGTGTGAGTGAAAACCCAGAAGACATTTGGCAGCTGAGCTAGTGACAATGGAATCACAAGTGCGTAGGGAATTACTCTTTCTACTGAAATTGCATCTCTATTGCCAGTATATGGGCTATTTGTCCTACGGGTGGTCATGTTCTGCATTCATTCACGAGATTTTTCAAGGATCTGAGCTTCAGTTAAGTTTCCTCAGAACTCTGGAATGGTCATGTTGGGTCAAGGACTCATCAAGTGGTAATCTCCTTCCCAACATTAGACTAAGATATTGCAGCGTCTATTAATGCTGTGTGTTCAAGATGAGAAGAGAAAGTTTTCTTTTTCTTATCCAGTCCATGGCCTAGTTGGCAAAAAGAATTCACTCATTAACCATTGTATTGACTGTAATGGGTTTAGGATTGAGGTGAATGCAGGTGATAAAGATGAGTAGGGAGGCAGATATTTCCACAGGTGAGCTCAGTTAATCCAGTATCACAGGTGCTGGGGGAGTACTGATGAGTGTAAAGAAGAAGGAATGGAGAAGTCAATGAGGAGTCATTCATTCATTTTTTCCAATTTTAGATCTCTTAGAGTTTTGAGACAATATGTTTGTGCTCTTTTAAAACTTATAAAAAAGAAAACTGAAATTCTCATTATTACCCATGTCCCAAATCAAGAATTCTCTCTCTCTGTAATTTTCCTTTTGTTCGAGTTTGATAACAGAAACAATGTATAGGAAGTATTGTTTCCTTAATTTTGGCTGTGATTCAGGAGAAGGAGTATAGGAGGTAGAGTAAAACTTAAGGTCCTGTGAAAATTTTTTATGAATTCCAAGGGACAGAACAATCAAGTGGCTTTAGCTATGCTTGAAGAGAGAGAGATGAAGGAACAAAAGGGACAATGATAACTGATAGTTGGAAGTCCCAGAAAAATTGAGAAAAGGAGGCCTCAGAGAGACCTTCCTGTCAAAATAATTCTGTCCTTCAGGACAGAAGTCTCAGAGCCTCTGGCTTCTGCTGCTAAACCATTTATCCTTATACTTTATAGTGAACCTCCTTGTCCCAAGTGCTGTATGAATTCACTTGTGCAGAATTCTGGACATTGTTTCAATATTCTCTGCCATTTATTGGATAATAAACCTAGAAGTTGTATTTAAGAAAGTTTTGCTAGATACTTAGCCCTTTACAAATTAGCTCGTTGGATCTTTCAGAATTCATAACAGGGTCAGTAAACCATTTCATTGATATGGAAACTGAGATCATAAGGGGAAATAATCTAACCATAGTCATGATTAAAAAGTGGCAGATCATGGGTACTGCATCTCTTGTGATGAGTCTATAGATTTACTTGAAATTAGTGGAGAAAAATGTCTTAGTTAAAATTTTCAAGTAAAAGTTTTATAGTCATGATCTGGAAGTCATAGTTACAAATTTATTGGGAAATCTCCAAGTTATGTTATATCACACTTCATGTACTCTCTCTATATAATGAAGTTTTATGTCTTTAGAGTGTATATCTCTGTGGGTATATGTGAAAGTCAGATGTCCAGGTCAGCACTGAGAATGATGTGACTGGACCCAAAATGTTGTTGAACTTCCTGTATACTTATCTACCACTTCCTTGCTACTGTCACCTGTACCATCCTGCCCTGCAGATTGTCAGAGATGGTCCTGTCTGAAACAATGTCTATAATATTTTAGGAATCAGTGACCTTCGAGGATGTAGCTGTAGTCTTCACGCAAGAAGAGTGGGCTCTGCTGGACACATCCCAGAGAAAACTGTTCAGAGATGTGATGCTGGAGAACATCAGTCATCTGGTCTCAATTGGTGAGTCTCTTACTATTTATCATGTATGTGTGTATTTATTCATTCAACAAGTATGTAAAAAAGCTTTCCCATTCCTCCAGACTCTACCTTGATTCTTTCATAACTCTCACAACTACCTTACAGCAATTTCCTTTACTTTTTATGTATATTTAGTTTGTCATTGCGCTAGAATGTAATCTTCCTGACGCGATTTCATATCTTTCATGCTACTCAATCTTCAACACTCAAACAGTGGTGGGATCTCATTATTTTTGAATGAGTAAGTAAATGTATTGATTTTTTTTAATAATTATTTTCCTGCAGACACTATGGTTAGATTAGACCGCAGTATTAAAAATAACAGACATATTGGAGCCAGCCTGTGGCATAGTGGTTAAGTTCGGCACACTCTGCTTTGGCAGCCCAGATTCATGCATTTGGATCCCGGGCACAGACCTATACCACTTGTCAGCTATGCTTTGGTGGCAACCCACATATAAAGTGGAGGAAGATTGGCACAGATGTTAGCTCAGGGCTAATCTTCTTCAGCAAATAAAAAATAAAAATAACAGACCTATTGTTTACCACATAAAACCTAGCTTTTTCTGGTGGCATTTGTATTTACTTGATTCTTTTTGGATATAATATTCAAACACTGTGAAAACTTTTATTTTCTCACTGAATGAAAATATTGAAGATTCTGCAGTCTGTCTTTGAACTTGAGCATCAGCATCAGCAATGATAGGTCCTTAATGTCTTTGGAAACAAGTTCAAGAGGTATCCTTTTGCTGGTAAAGGACTATCCATGTTTTCAACATACCCTTCCATGGGCCGACCTTCAAAGGTTATCTTATTCTTCCTCATTAGTTGGTTCGGTATTGATGATCATGCACTGTTATGAGCATGGAACTCAAAATCCACTTATCTTTTTCCTACAAACAGGCAGTCAGTTCTACAAATCAGATGTTATTTCCCATTTGGAGCAAGGAGAGCAGCTTTCAAGAGAAGGGATATGTTTTCTGCAAGGCCAGAGTCCAGGTGAGCTCCAAGAAGCTGTACTTCAGTAGGAGGAGGAGCCTGGCCAGTAAGTGAGTAGGCCCTAAGAATGATCAAATGAAGATATCTAAATTTAGTGACATTTATTTAAATGTAGACAATGTCATAGGGAAAAAATTCTTCAGATGTTGTCATTATACCTTATTAGATATACATTAGATATCAATTCCTATGCAAGTGTCTTTCTGTCATTGTCTTTGGCTTTAGGGAAGGTGATACTCATGTACTTATTGGAGTTAAACATTCACAAAATGGCCCTTTTCATGGATCTATTCTATGAAGATTTTCCCTCTTTTCCTCCTCAATGTGCCATCCTTATTTTATTTTTCTCCTATTTCAGAACTGAAAATGTCAATTGTTGATGTCCTGTAATGTGTTTCTTCTCCTTTGAGTATTCCTCTACTTGATGTTCCCATCTATCTGTCAGTATTTTAAACATACTCAAATGGACATTGGGTTTCTTCAATATGTTAATCCCCCCAATGCCACTCTACCAATTTATTTTTCTCTAATCATTTCAGACTGGGAAGGTGATCTTAAAAAACAAGAAGTGATATGCATGCAACATATCTGCAAGAAGGACACATCCTTAATCAGTGCAATGGTAAGCTTCATGGGCGTGAACGTGTTCTTCCAAATGAAGACCTGGGAATTGAAAGAGTTAGGAATTTGGCACAATTATCTGACTGTAATTAAATGTGAGATCAAGAGTTCTCAAAGCAGAAAGCTTAGTTGGGTGTTAGGGAAGAAATTAACCTGAAGTCTTATAAACAGACAATTACATAATCATGGCTTATATGCCTAATTTTTGAAACATAATAATGTGTTAATTTGAGATGTTACAAAAGAGGAAATCTCTATGCTTGCAGGAGAGTAGTACCTCATGTTTATGTAACTAATAGAGGAATAATTTTGACTGGAGTCTGTCACTGAATGATTACTCTAGAATTCGTATGTAGAGAAATTAATGCAGGAATGAATAAGTGTGACCAAATCTTTAACAGTCTCTTATTTCCTTTGAAAAACCAGAGTTCTCACACTCAAGAGGATTCTTTTGAATGTAGTGATTTGGGAGAAAATTTTACTGAAATTTTAACATTGACTCAATGTGTGATGCCTCCAATGGGAAAGAAACCCTATATCAGCCAAGAATTTGGAAAAGCCATCAGTTACTTGTCATCGTTTAATCAACTTAAGCAAATTCACACTAGAAGTAAATCATATGAATGTCATCAACATGAGAATGCTTTTATTCAAGGCTCTGCCCTTAGACAACACAATAATCCTCAAACTGAAGAGAAGACATTTGAATGTCATGTATGTGGGAAAGCCTTCAGTAAAAGTTCTAACCTCAGACGACATGAGATGATTCACACTGGAGTGAAACCACACGGATGTCATCTATGTGGAAAAGCCTTCACTCATTGTTCTGACCTTAGAAAACACGAGAGAATTCACACTGGAGAGAAATCATATGGATGTCATCTGTGCGGGAAAGCCTTCAGTAAAAGTTATAACCTGAGGAGACACGAGATAATTCACACCAGAGAGAAACCACATGAATGTCATCTCTGTGGGAAAACCTTCACTCACTGTTCTGACCTTAACAAACATGAGAGAACTCACTTTGGAGAGAAACCATATGAATGTCATCTATGTGGGAAGACATTCAGTAAAACGTCTTACCTTAGACAACATGAGAGAACTCACAATGGAGAGAAACCATATGAATGTCATCTATGTGGGAAGGCCTTCACTCATTGTTCTCACCTTAAAAAACACGAGAGAACTCACACTGGAGAGAAACCATATGAATGTCATCTATGTGGAAAAGCTTTCACTGAATCTTCTGTTCTTAGACGACATGAGAGAACTCACACTGGAGAGAAACCATATGAATGTCATCTGTGTTGGAAAGCCTTCACTGATTCTTCTGTCCTTAAACGACATAAGAGAACTCACACTGGAGAGAAACCATATGAATGTCACCTGTGTGGGAAAGCCTTCAATCACTCTTCTGTCCTTAGACGACATGAGAGAACTCACACTGGTGAAAAACCATATGAATGCAATATATGTGGTAAAGCCTTCAATAGAAGTTATAACTTTAGACTGCATAAGAGAATTCACACTGGAGAGAAACCATATAAATGTTGTCTGTGTGGGAAAGCCTTCAGTAAATATTTTAACCTTAGACAACATGAGAGAACACACACTGTTAAGGTAATAAATATGCAAGAGTCACTACCCGTAGCTTCAAACTATAAACACTCTTGAGGACTCACACACATTGATGAAACACTATGTTTGTAATCAGTGTAGAAGATCCTTTATTAATCCTTGTTACTTCACTCAGCTGAAGTTAATTCAAAGTGGAGAGAATTCATAGGTATGTCATCTATGTGACAAAACCTTTAGACAGTGGACTGACGTGGGAGACAGTATATGACCTGGGAGAACTAACTGTAAATGAATGAATGTGGAAGAATCTTCATCCACAGCTCTGAAACAAAATGGAGCAATCACATCAGAGAAATGCTATGTATGTAATCAATGTAGAAATACCTTCATTTATAATTTGTCTTCTAAATAAATAAGTAAACTGCACAGGAAAGAAAATCTAGATTTTTAATCACTGTGCACTCTCCATTTAGCACCACTCTTGGCATACACAAGAAAATTCGGTGTCAAGTAACTGCTGAAACAAGAAATAAGTCAAAAAAAGTTGTTACTAGGAGGATGATAGAATTTTGTTGCCAAAGGGCTTTGTGCAACAAGAACAAACTAGGACATGAAGAATATCGAAGATATTTGGAGTATCATTTTCAGAATGCCTCACATATTTACACTAATTTATGAAATGACCAAGTACTGCCCCTCCTAGTGACAGGCAAAGCCAGGAGAGCAGAAGGAAGCCAAGAGAATCTGTTCTTGCCCATCTTCCCCTGTCACAATAGCCATGAATCCACACGTCACCAACTGGGAATGAGACCCTTGAGTCCCAGCCCTTCTCACACACAAATGCAGAAGGCAAGGAGAAAAAAAGTGGAGCTTCTCCTCTGCCAGGATAACAAGAGGCTTGGTCCTTGGTACTCAGTTGAACGTGACTGATGTCCCTGTTTCACAAGTGTCAAAACTGAGAAAATAGATGCATATAATTAACAGCCCATGTTTTTCTGAGGGAATATGCAATACCCTTCCCACTTTATTTCTGTGCTTTTGTTTGAATTTATATTATTGATATGTCTTCAAATGGACTAATTTTGTTTTCTACATGTAAAGTCTATTAAACTCATCTGTTAACATCACCCACAGAACATAGTTTCCCAAACCCAGCAGTATTGAATTTCTCCATCTCTTCATGTTTCTTTTCATTTCCTCTATTTTATGTAATATAATAATTACTATAAATTCCTTTTCTCCTAACTCCAGTCTAAAGATATATGTGGGTTTATTCATCATGTGTCTTTTTTCTTATTTTTCTATCTCCTTTCCAGCTTCTTTGTAAAGATCTGTTGTGTTTTTTTTTTTTTCAATTTTTGTTAGACATTGTCTAAGAAAAAGGAAGAGACTGAGGTTGAGGTGGTTTTACCCAGAGAGGTTGACTGTTCTCTCTCTTAGGTAGATAGAGTGAAGACATCACTTTTTCCACTAGGAATTGAAAGACACTCAGGCTAGGTTGCAGCCTTGATTTCAGTCAGTCTGACCTTCATTCCTTTCAGGTCATTCTTCTGAATTTATTACAGGCATCTTCCAAAGTACCGTAAACTGAGAAGGTATTACACTGACTTTCTTGTTCTGTCCCCACCTAATAACCTATGGGGAAAAGCAGCCTGGTATTGGAGGTTCTCTATATTTCAATCAGCCCACCCCAGTCCACATGTCCATATGTTCATCTGCTTGTTTTTATTCCTGAGTAGTGTCTTTTTGCCTGTTATTTTCAGATTTTGGAAGCAATTTCCCCAGCTGTGGAAATCAGATGATCTCACCTCTCCTAACAAGGACTCTCCCTTTCTGGAATCTTAGTTCTTGTAGTCCTCTCTAGTTCCACAACTCTCTAAGTTTAAAACAATACACTTTTAAAGTGAATATTTTCTATTTCCTGTCTTGGCTCTACTTACACACATTACCTGGAAGCAGAAATCCCAATATTTTGCTTGAACAAATTTCCAGCTTATTTCTCCTCAGTCCAGAAAGGCTATCTATTTTTTCTGGGACTATCCTCCCATGGTGTTAATTTTCAAATGCTTCAGGAGAAAAACCAGTATGGACGTGGTACTCACATTGTTGGGCTTCCTGTTTCTCACAGATTGTATCTCAAGTTCTGTCAGAACAGGCTGCACTCCAGTGCCTTTAAACAGTTAGGTATTTTATTAAGATTTTATTGTTGATATTGGTTGGTCAGTCCAATGAAAGCTACTCAGTCATGGAAGAAATGAAAATATTTTACCCTGAGATATTTTAAACCAAAGAATGATTCATCTCTTATTTTAACATATAAAATATTTAAACCAGAACTTTGAAAATACTACTGACTATTCATATAGGAAAAATTCTCCACAATTGACAGCTTGTAATTACGTTAAAACCTTGATGCATCCTCATGGGAAACTGGTTTAATGATCTCCACTTTCCTAATTTAATTTTTGGTGTTGCTTTTGTATCAAACACCCATATGCAGATCTTTTGTTTTCACCTCTTCTACCTTATGGCACCATAAGAACCAGCTCTTCTGGGCTCTGATGAAGGTCAGCACACGTTTTGTTCCTGTTCCATGTGCTCCCCACCACCCCCTAGTCTTGGGTTTCCATGTTCATGTCAAAGTGTGACATGTCCCATTATCAAAGCACAAGTACAGGCATAGCCAGCTTTCCCTTTAATGATTTGTGTGTGTGTGTGTGTGTGTGTGTGTGTGTGTGTGTGAGCAATTGTGTGTGGTCAGAGGGCATATGGTGATTGTATGATCTGTGTACAGACATGTTTCCCTGGTGTTTGTGTGACTTAGAGAATGTAAGCCATTATGGCATCTGTGACAGTGGTCAGTGTGGAAGGTCCACATGTAATTGCCAGAACATATACATGTGATACCAAGTTGTATGTGTGGCCATTTGTTGTGTGTGTGTCTTAGGGTTTGCATTTGTTAAGAGGATGTTGTAACTGTGGGATCAGTGTGTGTGATCTTTGTGTTTCACTGTGTGTGCAAGGTCAGAAGTGTTGTCTACCAGGCACCTGTTCAACAGTCATCACCCCTGGAGCACCAGTGAGTCCAGCAAAGGCTCACAGGGCACTCTGGGGAGCCCAGGAAAAGTAAAACCAGCAGTGTAGTCAAGCTTGTGGGATTTGCTGGGTCTATGGAGACTGGAGGGGCCAGATCCTGACCAGTGGGAAACTAGAATCCAGGGTCTGAATGGATCAGAGATGGGGAACCAGTGGGCATCAGTGATTGTGGCTCTGAGTGGGAGAGTGGGAACTGAGTTATAGAGATCTGTGGTGGAAGTCCTATACATTTGGGGATTGAGGATCCTAGGTTCTCCACCAGGCAAAAGGACCAAAACCACTTTGAGGCAACAATCCCAAGGCAAAGATATGGGGTGATGTGTTGTTGATGGAGGAAGGAGGGGCAGATGCAGAAACACCTTGGGGTAAGGCAGAGGAGGCACAGGCTGGTCCCCACTGGCCTTGCCTTTCTCAAGGCCCCACTCCTACCAGGCCATATCCCACCTGACTGAAGCCCTGCTCTGCCCCTGCCCCATCTTGGGCAACGCCCCTCCCTGACCATTACCCCTCTTGGGCCAAGACCCACCTGCCTCTTAGTTTCGGAAGTGGATTTCAGAGCGAAGGTCCCACTCCAGTGAGTAAGCCCTGGTCTTTAAGGTTCAAACCCATGCTCTGTGGCCCCCCCCTTGCCCCATCCTCCACACCCACAGTCTAGGGGTCGGTCCCTGCAGATGCCACAGTCCACGCACCAGCCTGTCCTGCTGGCAGAGAGGCCAGCGTCGTTTCAAACACTCAGGATGCCAGTTGTTCCACTGCCAAGTCCGAGTTATTTCTGTTTCCAGTTAAAATTAATGGGAGGCAGTCCCAGCCTTGCCGTTCTGCCTTTGGGCTTTTCAATGTCTCCTGTCCCCACAAGTTAGGTTCCCATTCAGGAAGCAGATTATCGCCCTTTACCACCATCACCCTTGTTGACCCCTAAGAGCAGCCCCCACATGCCACACTATCTCCTGGTCGTAGGATTCTGCAGACCACAGTCTTCCCAACCCTTCTGTGTTCTCCTACTCCTGGGGGCCAGGCCCTGCTGCTCTGCAGTCTTTCCTTCACAGTCCGCCTCAGGGAGGCCCCTGAGCACTGGGCTAGGGGAGGTTTCCTGCCTCTGTCCTCCTGACATACCATGTCCTTCTCGTCCAAATTTCATCTCCCTCAATGTCCCTAACACGGTATGTTTACATTCCTGGTGTCTCACTGGAAAGTGAGCTCTTCCTAGGAAACAGGCAACTTCCCTCCATTGGTGTGGATGTCTAGGTAGGGTGTGGGGAGATGAGGGGGAAAGAGAATCACAGGGAGAATCAGGGACACAGAATGAGTCAAACAGTGAGGGAGAATAAGTCAAATAGAGGATGGGGAGTTATGTGATGTTTTGATATAGTAAGCACTGAGCCCACGAGTCCAACTGTTTATGATGAATAAATTGCTCAGAGCCATTTCTATAGCAGACCTTCTTTCCTGTTTTCCAGTGCCAGTATTTGGGTCTTCTTAATTTCATATGTTTTGATGTTTAATGTGATCTTCTGGATAAGAGGAATTAAATGCTAGAGATCAATGTGAGTAAAACCAGGAATGAGAAATTCCTCTTGCTCAGGTCTATGAAACATGGTCTGGATTCTTTAGGGGCAGGAGTAGGAAAGGCAAACCATCCTGGCCATGTCATTCCTGTGGGGCTGGAGCTGGTTACTTTCTACTAGCCCATTCTCACCTCCTTGTCTGCCCCATTCCTAAATAGGGACTTTTCAGCTCTATTATAACCTTATGGGACCACTGTTGTATATGCAGTCTGTCATTGACCAAAATGTCATTACGCAGTGCATGACTGTACCCAAATATATGCTGCCTACAAAAAATTCACTTCAGTTTTAAGGACACATGGATGCAAACTGAAGGGATGGAAAAATATATTCCATGTAAATGGAAATCATAAGAGAGCAGAGGTAGCTGTACTTATATAAGACAAAATAGACTTAAAAGCTGTAACAAGAGACAAGATCATTATATAATGATAAAGGGTTGCGTCTATCAAGAGAATATAACATTTGTAAATATATTAAACAATACCAAACCTGTAGTAAAATGAGCATTATATTTTTATAATGATGGAATGGGGATGGCTACCAAAATAAAACAAAAAAGTAGACAGCATAAAAGAAATGTTTATGTTTCACTGTATAAAAATTATAACAAATATATCAGTGTACACGTGTATGTGCATATGTCTGTGTGCATGATAAAACTACAGAATATATGTAAAGTTACATGAAAAATGAGCCAAGTAGGAAAGTTAATTTACATGTACGTCTATGAAATAAAATTGTATTGATAAAATTTATTCAGTAATCAGTGAAATGGAAAGAAAAACAATAGCAATTTTTCCACATATATAAAAAATAAAGGATGTAGTAGCAAGTCCTGTTTAAAGCTGGATAAAAACCCCATTTTGGTGGTGGGTGAGGACATTACAGCTGTAAGTGGGGGGTGCCCTGCCAGAATCTATCAAGTTATGAATACTCCATACTTTGAACTAGCAATCAAATTCCAACTTGCCCAAAGCATAGGAACACTCAGACATCTGCAGAGATGTCATTGTGCTCAGAGGCAGCCACTAAAAGATTCTTTACAAATCCAGGAACATCAAGGTCTCCTTGGGATGGATGAGATGTGAGCTATTTTAAAAACTCCTATTAGACATTTAGGTCGATTCTAATTTTAAAAAGCAGTATGGAACAAAACCCACCCCAAGTGGATGAAATGTAACCTTAAAGTTCACTGTTATCAGTTTCCGAATTCTCCATTTTATTCCAAATAATTTATATTTTATTAATTCACATGGATTGGCTTTGTTAAGGTTGGTATGTATTATAAAGTCAGGTAGATCAAGTTTTCCATTATCAATCTTCTTTTCCTGGATTTTCCAGCTAATCCTGCACATTAAGAAACAACTTATCTGTGCAGTTTCTTTAATCCTTATCCATAGAGAACTGACAGTGCATCCAGATGTGGTCCCTATGAAATCCCTCCTACCTGACTCATTGGAACCACAGTGCTCACTCCCCAACTCCAATCCACATCTGAAGATGAAGTCCTTCCTACGATTATCCCCCAAATGGAGCCACTTCACAAGTTTCATGTCAATGATTCATGGTGAGATGGAATCTATCTAGAGATGGAAGAGAGCTCAGGGAAGGCCATGAGTGACTGTGAGCAAATGTGTTAGGCAGGATACATGAGAGAGATAAGCAGGTCCCCAAAAAAAGCATTTCAGGAAAGAGGACATAACAATCAACAGAGAATAAGGTTTTTTTCCTAAGAGTCACTCCTGACTTCTACTCATCTTCCTTCTCGTCTGAGTTCTTTCTGAGGCAAGATAGTCTTAAGAAGTCACTCCTGACTTGAGAATATGCCTTTCAGGACTTGGAATCAACATACCCCCTTCCTATGCCACAACCATGCACATAGAGAGGAATTCACCATGTGAATATGGCAGTCCTCTGCTGTCCACTGAAACATTGGGAATTCAGGGTCAATAAACTCTGACATGGAGACCCACAGTTTGGTTTCTCTGTCTTTTTCTTCTGAAAATCCTCCTATCCTAGTGAAACCCACATGTTATTTGACAGCAGAGAGGGACTGACCTTCCCTTGAAGTTAGAGATGCTGATGGCTATTCCAGTACCTGCTGAGCATAGGCTTTCCAGGTGAAAGTGGGCAGAGATTTTCATTTCTCCTATTTCTGAGCTTCCCGGTCTCCTACCCATTCCTAGTTTCTTAATGCCCTATAGCATTCTTCTTTTCCTTCTCTAAGCTCATTTTACATAGCCAAGTGCCCTCTCTTCATGGGAGAGATACTTATGTTGTATGCTTAGTTTAAAAAGTCCTGGTCTTCCCATACTCAACTGCCTTGGAACTCTGTTCATGTGCATTGGGACAGGCAAGGAGGTCAGTAGAAGCCAGTAGAGTGCAACCACCACTAGCCTCACAGGAATCATGTAGTCTGAATGGGATAGGGGCAGGATTCCCTTCTCACCCCTATGTCTAAAGATTACAGACCATATTTCACACTCGTGAGCAAGAGCAACTTATCCTTCATGGATTTCATCATAATGATCTCAAGTATTTAATTTCTCTTTTCTAAAACATGACAAACTGTCAGAAAATATGAAATTAAGAACTAATTACTGGCACTGGAAATCATGAAGGAAAGTCAGCTATGTAAATAGCTCTGTGGAACATATTCATCCTGAACAGATAGACTTTGTTGGAACAAAAGACAAGCACAATTCAGCCCATCCTTGAACATTTGCAGAAAAAGGATAAAGGGAGCATATACTTAATCGGAAACTTCAGTTCACAGCCCACTAATTTGAAAGATCACAAAAGGGATCTTTTAACTTCTTCATTATTAGACAAACTGATTAAACAAGATTTTGACTGTTAAAATATTTTTAAATTGTCAATATCCTTACCAAGTGAACACTGAAATAATGTAAAATTATTTAGTAAGATCCAAAGAATACTTTCAGCATACAATAAAGAGTGGAAAACTACTGATATTTCATAATCTGAATCTGACACAATAAATTTTAAAAGAGAAACACACTAATGAATTGGGATCTATGCTTCTTTCACTCTCTTCCTATTGTTAGTCAAAACCCCCTCTTCCTATTGTCCTACTCCATCTCTCTGCTGATACCCTTTTTGTCTATTTTCATTTAACCCACTGCTTCTGTCACCTACTTGTTGCCCCCAAGAACCCAAGGGTGGGTTTGGAAGCATTTAACTGTTTTTCCAAATTGCTTTTTTTCCCCTTTTGTTAAGGAGATACAATCACCAACCACCCTGAACTGGACCTGGCCTCACCACAAGAGCTACGCCTATGACCTCTGCCTTATTTTTAACACTAAGATCTCTCCAGGAGGAACTAAGTCTTTATTACCGCAACCTGCAGGGTCTGTGGAAGCATGTTTTCCAACACAGCCTGTGCAAGCCAATGCCCACCTCTCCCTTTTGAATATTTATTCCCTATCAGAAATAAAAGGCCCCTGCTTCCTGTTCCGGGACACCATGGCTCTGGAAATGACTCCTCATAACCTTCGATTTGCTGCAAATATACCTTTCTTTGTGAGACAACTACTTCTGGTGGAGAGTCTGACGTAACTCGCCAGGAGGGAACCCACTTTAGTTTCGGTGAAACTTCCTGCCCAGGTCACTCTCTCTCACTCTTCTTGTGTCTTTCCAAGTTCAGCAGACCAACCTGCTCCTCCATCTTCTGTCACCCTCTCAGTTTCTCCCTCTCCTTGACTCACTGTCTCCCTTTGTCTCCTTCTTTCCTACTCATCTCCCTCCCACCTCCACACTCACAGAGATGGACTAAAGATGCCCTTGTGGAGGAAGAGTTCATATTAGCAACGTGAACACACCCTGCGGGCGGCTGGGATCGGGGCAGAGAACCCACGGTCGCAGGGCAGGGGCGGACCCCCACCAGCCCGGGGCCTCCAGGAGGCGGTGACCGAAGGGGAGCCCCGGGGGCCGCAGGGACCGCCGCAGGAGGACGGGATGGGGAGGGGCCTCGGGGGAGGGCTGGGTCTGCAGACTCCAGGGCCGGGGAGGGCGCGGCGTGCAGGGGCTGCCCTGAGGCCGAGCGGGGCGACGGGGCCGAGAAGCCCCGTCCCGAGCGGGGCCCTGACGCGGGGCGGGGCCGCAGCCGAGAGCCCGGAGGAGAAAGGCCGGCGGGCACGGCCTCCGGGCGACTCTAACCGGAAACGGACGCGGACCCGGCCGCGGCGGTCTCCCCGCGGGCGGGGCCCGTGACGTCCGCAGGGCCCCCGGGCCGGGCGTGCAGGACCGAGCGGGAAAGGGGACGCGACGTGCGCGCCTGAACCCCGAGGCCCAGGCTGACTCAAAGGTAGGACTCGCGCCACAGGACATCCGCTTCCGGTCGGCAGGCTGCTGCGGGGCGAGGCGAGGCCCGCGGAGGAGGGCGGCCCCGGCCCGGGCGTCGCCGAGTCTTTTTCCTCCTGACGGAACGGGGTCTGCGCTTTGCGTCCACGTGCGTGTCCAGCGCGGCCTGGCTGCTTCTGTTCTACTTCACGTTAAGTATTTCAGATACTTAAGGTAAAACCATGCGTTTTGAGGCCTCTTATAGTGAATGCTGAGGTGTTTCCTTCTCAACAACTTGAAAACGGTTTATGTCAAAACTTTTTTTGTGAACATTTCTGAGAGTCCGTCCGGGGCACCTGGGTGTGGCCGCCTGGACCCCGGGGGTCGGGGTGGGCCCGGGTTGGAGCGGGGACTTCTGAGGCTCCAGCAGCTAGAACGAGTGTTTACGACGAAAGCCAGAACGTGAACCGCTGAACGCCGCCTGTGCGGAGGTGCAGGTTCACAGGGGCCGCAAAGAGCGCGGTTTCCGTTTCCGCTCCCCGCTCGCCTGGGCTGGTTCCGTGCTGCGTGTCCAGAACCGGGGCTGCGATGAAGGGCTGAGGAACTGCACAAAAAGTCTTGTGTGTATATTCTTTTCTTCTTTACACTTAATTTGTTCTATTTCAGACTTCTTGAGATGACTTACAAATTCAAATACCTTTGAGATAAATAAGAATGGCATTCCATAATTTGTCATTATTATCTGAATAAATATTGTCACTTTTTTCATTATTTTCGTTCCCATTGCAATTTAAAGGTGAATTTTTTTAAAAGATTTTTTTCCTTTTTCTCCCCAGAGACCCCCCCCCCTTGACAATTTGTTTTTGGTTTTTGTGTATTATAAATACTATTGTTTTACTTTCAAATTCCAATTGTTCATTACTGTTATGTAGGAAAGCAGTTGACTTTTGCATATTGTCCTCGAATTTTGCTTCTTGCTGTCTCCAGCCATGCTGATCAAGGCATGGGATGGTGGTCCATTTGGATTTTAACTTTGAAAATCTTGTGCTCCGAGCCTCCTGCGTTGCCCCGGGCGCCCAGCAGGCGGCGCGCGCCGGCCCTGTCCGGTCCAGCGGGGCGCGTGCGCGTTCCGCCCGCCGACGCCCCCGCGTGCCGGGTGGGGAGAAAGCTGCGTTCCCTGAGGGCCGAGCCGGCGCGCCGCCGCCGCGTCCGCGTGAGGAGCCAGCTCGGGCTGAGGGGCCCGCGGGTCTCCTGGAGGTCTTCCTGAGCAGCGAGAAAGAACCTTCGTTTCCGGACGTTCCGCGTTGACTCTCTGCCGGCCAGGTAGTATTCATAGGTCTTCATTTTCCCCGAGCGTTGGGCCGGCCGGCGGGTCCCGGACGTTCCCTGAGGCGCCCGGGGCGGAGGGGGCGGCGCGGAGGACGGCGCCGGCGGGGCCTCGCTGCCCGCTGTC